ATTGATCATTATGGTAACATGTAGAAGCGAATGATTGCTATGCAGTCCAAATTATTAAAATTACCATTTTTATACCGCGTGACACAAAAAATGACACCCACCCACATAATGTTTCATAACTATTTTTGTCTGAAGAAATTCTGACTTATTTTTTCGCACATAAGAACTACACTCCATTTTTCCAAAATCATTAGTATTTACAAAGCTATATTACCTAACATGGGTGGCATGTTCCTGTAGAATCCATGTGTGTCTGGAAAAAAATAGACGAAATTTAGAACAAATGTTGCAACGCTCATAAAATTTCACCCACTTAAGCTACTTAAGATGACAGCACCTGTGTTGGTATTGCTAGATTTCAATTTACTTAAATTGAAGTCGCTTAATTCCTTGATTTTTTAAGTATTTTGAAATGGATTGATGTAAAGGTCTATTTGCATACTACTAACTGAACTAGTGGATGTTTGGATTATGATCTAACCTTAAAATTGTGATCCTAAAAGAATAAATCAACATTTAAAAAATTGTTACCATTTTGTCAATGGGAATTTTGCCCGATCTGAATGAAATGAAATAACTGTGAACATTAAAGTTCTTCTAGTAGAAAATATGCACTGAATTCAAATATCTCGTGAAAATATAGGAAAATCTAAAATCTCATTAAAATGAGACTTCAACGAGATTTCAAAACTGAATTGCAAATAATCATTTTATATGTATATGCTTGCAGATTACTTTGGCGTTACAACGTTACAAATGTGAAGATTTAAATAAGATGAATAAGAAGTTACTTTTACTTTAACCTTTATGTGCATCTACACTGGAGTAAACGGTAAGTATGACAAGGCACTGATTTTCGTATATAGGGCTCAATTTATAGGGCGACCCTTTGATTCGGTGAACCAAACTACTTATTTAAAACATGGACTTTCTAATTGAGAAACAATTTGAACATCATTGAACATAATTATATTTCAATGTCTATCTACCTTTGTAGTTGTTTAATTTGTCTTATATTGATACATATGTCCTACTCAATGGTTATGGCGACGGCTTTTGTGAAATGGATGTTGACCCTTTGAAACGCCTATGGACTTGGAGACTGGATTTTATTTATCCCGCATTATTTGAGACTAAATGCTCTATCTTGTATGAATACCTATACCTACAAGTTCCCTTTAACTTAAATTACATCTGTTTGCGTGGTTCAATTTTCATATAACCCTCATCTATCTAATAGTTATGCAAATTAAATATGTCCAGTAAAAGAAAATGTTATCTGTCCAAATCACTTTTTGTGATTTTGTAACATGGGGTCTATGGGGAATCAACCCGAACAAGAAGTCACATTTTCAAAAAAAATAATTTCAAAGTTGATATCTTGAGATGTACTTTTACATGCAGATTTCAAATATGACATCACTTTCACTGAGTTTTGAATATTCAATGACGTAAATCAAGATTACTTCTACTCTCATCTAGTCTATTGGCTATCAATTTCTAATTTTTCTTCAACATGTATTGTAATGATTTCAGTATGAATAAAATGTCCTTTGGTCTTTTGGTCTTGGATTGTGATATTGGTTCTTGAATGGCAGGGGAAAGGGGGTATTAGACATTGTTTCTTTTCACGTTAGATCATGGTTTTGGGCTATATGGGGTTTGTTTTTCTTGACTGGTATGCACTTAGAGTTTGCTTTTTCTTGCTAAGTTCCATTACAACTTTTGGTCCTTTCCCTTTGGCACAAGTGCTTATATATTTAATTTGTCTTATATTGATACATATGTCTTACTCAATGTTTAATTTGTCTTATATTGATACGTATGTCTTACTCAATGTTTAATTTGTCTTATATTGATACATATGTCTTACTCAATGTTTAATTTGTCTTATATTGATACATATGTCTTACTCAATGTTTAATTTGTCTTATATTGATACATATGTCTTACTCAATGTTTAATTTGTCTTATATTGATACATATTTCTTACTCAATGTTTAATTTGTCTTATATTGATACATATTTCTTACTCAATGCTGAAAATGGTAGATTAGACCTCTTTACATTCTATTTTATGGGCCCCACTTAAATATACATATATATTTGATATTTTACATTGACCAATTATTACAATACATGTTGTAACTTTAATAATTAATTGATAACCATTACTCAAAACATCAAAAATGGTCGAAGACGCTACAGTATTTATACACGACATTCAGTCCCAGATGATGATGGACAGACAAAAAGTTATTTATATCAAACGTGCTCAATTTGCCACAAATCTACAATTGCAATTTCAAATAGCATTCTGATAATCTTTTTTTGTAAAGTAAGACCATTTTTTGTAAATATTATCATTAGTATAACTAAGCTTAGATTTCGACCAATTAACACCTCTTATCTATCTAGAAGTAGAAATTTATCAGGTCACATTTATCTTGTAGCAGACCATGGTTCAGCATGCTGGACAATTAACCTGACCTCATTAGCACTGATTGGCAGAGCTGTGACAGTTTGATTAATACAAGGGTTGTTCAAAACGTTTTGCACAGATATATCTAATTATGAAAATAATGAACCAATCTTGTTCATATTTGGCAAGTATGTGCCCCGGCCCATCTTATTTGCTTAGACTGTTAGGTTTCCATGTATGCTTAGTACATTTTACAGTTGCTACGGTAACCAAGGTGATGGCGGTACGGTCCATATCAATTTTTAAAGAGAAAACAAATGATATATAAACTACAATATCACTAAACATGTCCAAATTTACTTACATGAACTATCAACTTAAATCTAAGCAATATCTAGTATTGTTTTCATGGCCAAAAATGAATCTTATATCAATACTTCTCATGTTGTGTCTTTAGCAGTGTCAAAGAATGACCGTTATCATAATCTTCAAACATCTTGAACAAATCACTTGATTTTATGACATCAAAGTTCTCATATCAATTTATGGAATTTTGTGAGCATATGACTCAAAATATAAAATCGAAGCAGAAAACATTGATAGCATGATACATGTTAAAGAATGCGAAAACAGTATTACACAAGTTAAATTCATTCATGCATTAAGACATTGCATACGATGACTCCTATAGGTATTGCTAAGTATTCCAAGATGAAATTAGACAAAGGAAAATGTATTGAAGGTAGCTGTAGTTATCAGAAGGCTTGACATCATTTAGGTAGGAGGGTTCAGACATGGTCTCAGAGACTGGGCAGAATGCTAAAAACCCTAAAAGTAATGCATTACTGCAACGGACGAGTACACAAGAACTCTATATTTTGATTGATTATAAATCAATTATAACATAACCTGACTAACTGTTCAAAGAACAAAATTGACCAAACAATATCAGCCTTTCAAGCCATTCACAAATTTTATTCAATTTAATGACGTCATATGAACCATGGGACCATTGGTTCACATTTTAAAACCAATGTATCTCAGCGAGTCGATGCGTATGGTCCTAAAACTTCAGATATAAAGGTAAAATAGGTGAAACTATATACGTACGAAATTTCATGTGAACATAATAAAATCTCTTCGCTTGAGAAGCATTCGTGCAAAACTTGTCGAACGACCCTTGTAGCTTGATCAATGACCATGGTCCAATAGAGGAGTTTTTATGTAGCTTTGAAATCTCGCTAATTCTCGTTTTTGTGAGATTTTAAGGGATTTTCATATTAAAACTGCGAATGACTTACATTTCCTTCTTTTTAAGAGCAATAACTTGGTGAAGTTTCCACCAATAATAACTTTGATCTATGCAGTTATATTATTTAAATCAGTTCCCATGACTTTTTCCACTTTTCTAAAAAGGGGCCACATCTCCATTCAACCAACACTTTTTGATAGATCATGAAATTAAGTGATTATTGCAGTTTTTACCATTAAAGCATATGGCAGTCTGGCTCAACCAAAACAAATAAAAAACAAGTGCTGGCATCTATTTTTTAGCTTTATTTAGATATATAGCGACTCTCTTATACTGTTGGCCTTAATGAATGCAATAGATGCGGTGACCACAATTAAAGAGAATTGAATACATCACAGTAAGAAATCTTTCGTTTTTCTCAAGTAAAGTATGCAATGCATTATGAGACTTTTTAAGAAAATAGACATGATAAAGAATGATATGAGCCCAAAAATAATTGAGACAATTTTTGTTTGGGTTGCTCGCTAGATCTGATACTACCTTTAAAAACAAGTGAATGATACGATTCCATTTCATTCCAATCATTTCGTGGATGATTCAGTAATGGCATCCCATGTCCACTTATATTTTAATCATACTTCTTCGGATATAGATAATTGAATTTCTATGTGAATCACGCTGTGTAGTGCATCATTCAGGGTGCACCTATTAAGGTCATACGGTGCGGAAGGAAGCGGACCCTCGAGTCGCGCTAAATCCATATTAGCGAATACCATAAAATGTATGAATATATCATTTCATTCTGGCACTTTGTTTTCAAATTATCAATACTTTCTAGAAAGAATTTAAAAGAAGCTGTGATCTCTAACGATGTAAATATATCGACTCGTCTCTTGAATCTAATAATGTTCAGGTGTTTGACGGTACAAACTGCCTGGAGATATACTTTTAAATCTAATAAGTCACACCCAGCCATTGGCTTGTTTATGCCATATTGTATAAATGGAAAGTTGTGGCATGTCATTATTTTGCCTCTGATATAATCACTACCTATGCGTGTACATTTACTAGACCGTGAGTAAATTACGTTTTGTTCATTGTAGAAAGCTTGTATTGCCTGATGCCTCATTAATTGATCAAGTTAAATTATGCAATAATGTATTCATGATCAACTTATACCTTTATTGCACATGCGCAGAACCCGAGTCATAGACAAGGATTTCCCATTTGATCTCTCGTAGCCAATAGAATTCTTTTCAGAAGACTCAGGCACAATAAGATCATTATAAAATAAGCCATTTTCACTTTTATATTTTGCTTTGAGGGGAGATATTGGGCCATAAAACAGAACATTGACCTGGGTGTTAGCTAGAAGACAGGTAGGAGGTACAATAGCGTAGTATTCTCATTAGCTCCTTAATAATGACATGGGTAAATATAAGAATCCCAATGACTCGCGGATTACCAATAAGGTTCAGATATACTAATAACTGCGACGTGGATAACAATATGGCCAGGGTATAGAGGATCTATACTAAAATCAATGTAATCGTGGTTTGTATGGAAATCGACGTATAAAGGACTCGTCCCCTATAGGTAATCTATGCATATATTTAAAGAAATCGACATTCCTATACAGGTGAATCAAGATATAACGTTAGGGACAACTAAATGATTGAGATGTTTTCAGTCCGTGGAACCAGTTGTTTTTTCATTGTGTGATACATATACCTGTAATTAAAGAAAATGTCTTGTACAATAGCAAATGAAAAGTCGTATAATTTACGAGAATATCGATGTTGTTAATCGTTATTCAGCATCGAACCAATATTATTACTTATTGTATGTTCCAGGCTTGGATGAACGAGAGATCTACTGAGCGGTGAAAAATCGCCTTTACGTCACAGAAAGATTATTGAGTGAGGAATGGGAAAGTTTTACTTACAAATGTAACTTCGGAATTACACATTTACTGGAGGTATTTGAGGCATCACAGCATGGATCTAATGACGAGATAATTAGTCTAAAATATTTGGCTTGTTATCTTCCAATGAGAGAAGTTTGTAAAATAGCGTATGTTTGGAATAACAGAATCAGGTGTCTTCATCCGCACATCAATCTCACCAGACAATTATTTGAGAGAAACATGCTCGACAACCAGACCACATACAACGTCTAACGAGTAAAAAACAACAGTTGATCTAAAATAGATAAATCCAAATTATTTACAACATAATGTGACTAAAACAGTGTAAAAATGATAAAATAATTGTACCAAAAAGCTGTTCAGAGAGGCATATATATTCTGGTAAAGTGAATTGTGAAAGAAGCTGGTAAAAGCGCAACCATTATAAAGGCAGTATATGTGATGACAAGAAGATATCTCTGATAACACAAGACAGGTATGCGATATTACTGTATGCATGTCATGAATAACAAATTGAAATAATTAGCAATGTTTCATAATAAATACTTCACGATTTGTAGTTCGCGATAAAATGGCAAAATGTTGCATTATGTGTAGAAATATGTAATTTTGTGAATCGACGCTGAAGTAGATTATCAAGTATGAATCAATAAGTGCATCATTCAGGTACCCAGGGTCGATTTTTACAGGTAAAAGTAGAGTTCATCCTTGTTTAACTGTCTCTAAAATAACACCCCTACTTTTTGAGTTGAGGTCTTACTTGAGTTACAAAAATATTATGATGAACTTGTGCAAAATGAGATCAAATATATGTGCGTAGGGTTGTTGAGTTGGTTTTGTCGTAAGTCTATGATGCTAATTCATCTTAGATAAATCCAGGTAAAAGAACTCATTCATAATGAATCTTTTCTACATATTATGTTACCTACCTTGCAAAATGTACAACTATTTTGCTTTAACTTGTAGGAACCCTTGAACGTAATATATTCCTTGGATTATATTTTATCGCGGATCACATACCATATAATTTAAGATGATACTGGTGCGATAACAATGGCAGGGAGAGGAAAGACGCGCGTCGACCAAATGATCATGTGCATCGAATAAATTTTCTACAAGGCAGACCAAACAAGATAGACGAGAAATACGTAAGTCTGCTCCCCATTATCCAATATGGGTAGTTTTATCTATGCTCTCACCCGCTTCACCCAGTCAGTGCGCCACGACGATGATTTTGTGGATCGCTTGAACTATCGATACACGGCCGTTATTCTGGTAGTGTTTGCGCTGTTGGTTAGTGGCAAACAGTATGTAGGTGCTCCTATACATTGTTGGTGCCCTGCTAAATTTACTGATGCTCATGTGAACTTTGCGAACAGTTTATGTTGGGTGAAAAATACATATTATGTACCGGTGGGGGAAATGTTACCGTTAGAGGATGAACCAAGAAGGAAAAAGGAGCTGGGATATTATCAATGGGTCCCAATAGTCCTGCTTGCACAAGCAGTGCTTTTCTACATCCCATGCATTGTATGGCGTATGCTGAACGACAAGTCAGGTATCAATGTAAATACCATTGTACAAACAGTTACTGACATACACCATCTAAATCCTGATATTAGGGATAAAACAATTCAATATCTTGTTCGCCACATGGACCGATGTTTTGACTCACAAAGAGAATATCGGGCTGGTTGTTGCGTCAAGTTTCGGCAAAACCTTGCCACAAAATGTTGCCTTGTATGTGGCCGTAGGTATGGGAATTATCTAGTATCCCTGTACCTTTTAATCAAGGTTTTCTATTTTGCCAATGCTGTAGGACAATTGTTCCTCTTAAACTCCTTTATAGGAACGAACTATACGTTGTATGGCTTGGAGGTAGTTCGTGATCTCATAAATGGGACAGACTGGACCGAATCAGCCCGTTTCCCAAGAGTGACGCTTTGTGATTTCAAAATAAGGGAATTTGGCTTAAATATACATAGATATACATTGCAATGCGTTTTGCCGATAAACCTTTTCAATGAAAAAATCTACATATTCTTGTGGTTCTGGTTACTGTTCATCGCTGCAGCGTCAGCTATTAGTACTTTCCATTGGATCGTCACGCTATGTGCTGGTAACAAAATCATGTATGTCAAGAAACATCTTAAACTTATGATGAGGTATGACAAAGCCACTGAGAAGAAAGTAGTTCCAAAGTTTACAAACACTTATCTAAAACAAGACGGTATATTTGTGCTGCGGCTATTAGGTAAGAATGCTAATGAGGTTATAGTTTCTGAAATAGTCGCAGGACTTTGGGATTATTATAAACAGCATAGACGAGGCCATATAGACCAGGATTTAGGAACAGAGCAATTGACACTTTAGCTGATTGGGACATTATTAATATAAATTCATCTGTATATTAAAATACTGGCACTTCTCACTCAACTGTAACAATGCAAATAGATAAAGTGTGGTCTATGACAATCCGAATATTATCAGCACATATATACAAGTTCGAATTATGCACACCAAAAGCAATAATTCGATGGTCCAGAAAAAAGACCATGATAATTCATGTGCAATTATACCGTGCCTTGATACTTGGTTCAGTATGCGCGAAGGGTCAATTTGTAGATCAAATGGTACTTTTGATTTCATAATTAAAAAATGATGTAGCTAGCAGCATTCGTAAAAGTGAAAGTATAAATTCGCTCATTAAATAAGCTTTTGAAACTTCTTTCTTGTTTACAAAGTACCACGAGTTGTTTGTAGAATGAATCGGGGGAGTTTTTTCATGCATTTCGCTTATGTTTTTCATTTAAAAAACATCAAGTTTAAAACATTTTATTGACTATAAGATTGCACCATATAATCCAAAAAGATATTTCTCATTTTCAAGGATTCTCTATACACACCTTATTGGGTTGTTTTTGTTTATATCACAACCCAGTAAGGTGTATTAAAGATTTACTTTCCTGTTATCTCAAATCTGCTTGGAAATATACCATACCCATACTATTTCTATGGGAAATTCCTCCAAGAGAATACTATAGGGATTAAGGAATGTGTTCAGTTCACACAACTTGTGAAATTATTGGCATACATGAAACCTATTTAATACAGCATGCATATTATTGATTCAAAGGCGTTGATTATGAATGATTCCCTAAAAAATAAAAAATACCTGGGTGTTAATCCATAGATAATCCTTGAAATTAGACAATTGTTTTGGAATATATGGTGGAATATTATAGTCAATAAAATGTTTTAAAGTGTAATGATGTTTCTAGATGCAAAGATTGGGCGAAATGCATGAAAAACTCCCCTGATTCATTCTACAAACAACTCGCGGTCCTTTGCTAATGACGACTGTAACATGTAATAATAACACGTGGTCCTGATATTTAGCAACATTTGCTTTTTTAATACTGCAGCTTTTTATTGGGTGAAATGTCAATGACCAGTAAAGATTTCTTGCCATGACCAATAGAATAAAGAATACACATCAAAATTTGGGACTCAAATGTGGATATATGTATTAATTTGAACTAGTACAATCTTATTGAGACGTATGCTCACTCTTGAGAATTTATCTGTACTCTTTTTTGACATTGTTGACGTTAACAACATCCCATTTGACACAAAATGAATTTGAATACCAAGTTGAATTTCCCTCAAGTCACAATATATTGTCTAAATATTCTGTAGCGTTCTTTTATATTTTAGATAAATTCATTTGGTTGTTCATGACGATCAAATAGCATTTGTTAGTATAATCCATTCCGAACATCTTTCTGTTTCTGAGAAGAAATGGGGTGTCATTGTTTATCATGATGGGAATAATTTTCATATAGATGTTTCAATAAATGAATTTCTAAAAGGAGAGTTTAATTTGATGGGCGCCTCAATGTTTAGTTGAAGTAAACGGACAAATGACTAGATATGGTAATGGGTGTGATTATACGATTATTCTCTTCCAGAAAATCTGAATCAGGACAGAATCTGTATTCTTTAGATCGATGTAAAATAGGTTAAAGTGCTTCGGAATGTGACTGGTTATCATCATTCGCTTGCAGAAGCCATGCCCTTATTGGCCCTCTTCCTTCTACTCCCAATCTCAGTCTACACTTTAGTGTGTATTGGAACAATCAATTACGAAAAAACACAAATGTTTTTTGTTGGCATAGAAGTAATTCCCACTATCTGAAAAGTCATTAATTATAGTTCGTTTGACCTGAAACAGAAGATAGTTTATTTTGTCGACAAGTGCAATGAAATTAAATTAGACGACTCATCGAATCTATCTGAAAATAATATTCTAACCCTGCTGTTTTCTTTTATTTTAACCTCTCGTGGTTTGACGCACAATTTAGCCCTGAGATTTCGATCTGACCAGGTGTCTTATTTTCTCAATTAAATATTTTTACAATTTGTTTTGTTTTTATTGTAGACTAGCTATTTATCGAATCAAAATAGATACTTTTATCATATTTCTAAAATTCGGGATTGTCTTGAGGTGTTCATATTTTTATAAAATCTATGCAATCTGTTCAGACTGTGGAATCGATGACTCAAATTAGTCGTTGGCACTCAGCATTCATTATGTTTATCGGAATTTTCATTTCCTTCTATTATTTCGAATATTGAGTAGAGTTACTTTCTTTAAAGCCCTAGTCTGTTCAGCTACTTGTCCAATGGCAATCAATAGTCTCCTGATTAAAATTGATAAATTCCATTGTATATTCACCTCGATATGTGTGCATACTTCAATTCCGCCATGGGTCAATTTGCAAGAAGCTCCTCACACATATACTTATATCGCCTTGAAATGTATTCTCACTTCCTCAGAAGTCACGAATTTCACTATTTCATTTGGGTATGTATCTAATGATATATGTTTTTTATGATATCAATCAATGGAACCGGATTCATTATTTTAATAAACAATTTATTCTTGGAGTTGTCTGATGAGGGTAGTGTTTTATTTCCCAGGGACCAAAGTATTGGTTTCAACTATATACCTTTACGATCAACCACTTTAAAAACAGTTTGATGACATTATCTTGTTTATTGCAATCTATTTTTGGAATTTGGATTTTCCTATCTCCTCTCCACTTGGAAAAGAGTGAGACAAACTTCCAGTTTGAAAAAATACCGAGATAATTATGTACTGTACGGTATTGTATACCCCCATCCTGATTTACAATAGGGCTACTATTGTATACTAGTAGCCTCATCCTGATTTGAAATAGGGCTACTCTTGTATGGCCCCATCCTGGTTTACAATAGGGCTACTATTGTATAGCCCCATTCTGATTTACAATAGGGCTACTATTGTATAGCCCCATTCTGATTTACAATAGGGCTACTATTGTATAGCCCCATTCTGATTCATAATCGGGTAAGCCTACAAAAGTATGCTTCTCTTTAGTAGATTAGTCTTCTGCCTACTTTTTAAGCTTGTGAAAAAGATTTGATGGTGGTTTTTTGTATTGGATTTCCCTTATATCCTTCCAGCCTGATAGAGGCAGTAAGTTGTCTTATCTGTGTTATGATACTAGCAAATCAGGCTTCTTGTGGACTATCATAATCTGTTCCTGTGTAAAATCCCTGATGGGTGTTATGTCTATCGGTTTTCTAGATAAGTTATGTTTTACTTTCCAAACAAATCGATTACTTTATATGAAGAAGATATAAACCAACCATTATGGCGATTGATTTCACCAATATATGTTTACAACCCCTTACATTCACATACACAGATACGTTTGAGCATGGGCTTTCCAATGGTTTGAGCAAAAACGTGTATTTTCACAATTCACTCTTTAAGAGATGTTATAAGTTGACATTTTAACAGAGTAATTTGTATTCTATACAGATTCATTGTCACACAAAACTCCATGGATACCGTTGGTAAGATGTTAAAAGTCTGTACACTTTGTAAGTGTTAATTAAGCTAGCTCTAGCTCCCAATTGTAAGTCTATCCCACACAATATATCATTTCCCTGTGATTTCTGAAGCCCTAATATGACGTTTTGCAATTACGAAAAGTAATTATTTC